CTCTTTCCTCCACTTTAGCTGGAGTTGAATCTTGTGCTTTGTAGTAGTATGAGAAGGGGGAAATTTGAGCCTGAAGAGATTGACAAGCAAAACATTAACATAAAAACTTCTGTTGTGAAATCTGTTTCATGCCCTCATGCTCAACATGTTTTGTTTAAAACTTTGTTAATGACTCAGACTTGAGCTGCAAAGAACTCTTCGCTATTAATTTCTGGCTGAGTGGAAGACTACAGTGTTGATCTATGGGAGGAGGGAGTTTTGCTACTCATTTTGTTTATAAATGGTAACACGGCCATGGAGCTCTGAATTGGCTGTCTTACACTTTAACTGTTCTTCTGCTGTGTTTGAATTAAGAATTGTTCCAATAGTGTCTCTAAAAGTTGGGAAGAGGCCAAAAATGTGGGTTTAGTGACTTGTACAAATGCAAGGAGAGTTGTTGAAATATGGGTGTATCTTAGACATTTCCTGTAAGCTGAAGTAGTGCCTTTCAGAGCAGATTGGCTGTTCCATTGCTGCGTATATCTCTCTGTGATGATAAGTTATCGAGTCTCAGCAGTAGTTTGCATTTTCTTACCAGTTTATACATGGCATCAGTTTCCTTATCCACTACCAACAGTGTGGTTTTTGTCTCGGACTGCTTAATTTTCCCCACTATGCTTTCATGATCCAGACCATCCACTTGCTCGCCATTGACAGCTACTAAGATGTCGTCATCTTTGAGACCTGCCATGGCTGCTGGGCTCCCGGAATCAACATCCTTGATTATGTGAGCTAAGATCAGAAGGAAAAAAAGGTTGATATGAAGGTGTAGCTTGGTAAATTTAAAGACATTAAAACGCATGGCAAAGGCAAATTATCAGAATTGCACTTTAGGTTAAGACCAGTTCCCTGATGTAGACCTCTGCAACATATCTAAGGAGGACTTCTCCTTGGTGACCAGTAAAGAGGGAATGAAGTCTGCAAACATGGTACAGGAGGAAGCTGTGTAGTGAATGCCATGGTCTGTGTGTTAACTTGGTTCTTACCACCAGTATTCTGTTCCATCCGTAGATAAAATCCGTAACCGCTTTTTCCTTTCTGGATCTCAATAAGTCGTGGTTTGAGGGGAAGCAATCTTAGGCTGGCACTCTCTTTGCTCAATATCATCTTCTGGCTTGTGAAATAGTGGTCTGTTTCTTCATTTGAAAGTAGAAACATAACATGATTTTCAGACTTCTTTACCTGTGACAGTACATGACAGTCTCAGATGTCATCCCTTCAGCAGCATATGGGAATTGTAGATACTTTAGTGACTGGTGCACTGATACATAGATACATGTGTGGGCCATGCAACTCTGAGTTGATTTTCCCCTGCCTCCTGTCAGAAATTTGGAGCATGACAAAATCACGGACATGTAATATAAGAGGAAATTTTCTGTATTTCATACTGTATTCCTGACCTATATGGAATTAGCTGTAGAGAGCTGTGAGGATAGCATACAGTGCTGTAGAATCCAATGAGCCTCAGTAGACAGTACTTGGCTTATTTAGATGTGGAACTCTACAATATAGACATCTCATGCCATCTATACCACTATTTTAGATTACTGTGACGAGAGTCAAGTTTCTGTCACTCTTGGTCCTCTTCTGTCTCCCTGTGTTACTGATTCTGTAGTTTGGGGTGGGTTTTTTTGGATTTTTTTTTGTCTGTTCAGCCTATCCAAGCCCATCCTTCTCTTAAACCTTTCTGCTCCAAGGGGTGCCTTTTTTACTCATCTTAACCAACATCACTCTGCTGCTGATGTTACAGTAGCTCAGTAAAACAGGTGTTGCACAGTTCCGTAGCTGGTAGTGTGCACTGAATGATGCTGGAATGCTCTAGTATGCACTGCCTGTCTCATGGCCCTCTGAAGTCTCTTCAGCTCCAGCTGTGTTTAGCAGTGCCAATGGCAGAAAGCTGGAAGCCTCACTAGCAATGTTCTTTGCAGCTGAGGTCGGTTAGTGAAATTACTTGCACAGTAATTTTCATTAGTTTTGGACTTCTAAACAGGAGAAAGGAACTACTGTCTAAAATAATGAATTTTCCCTGTTTCATGCTGGCTGTATCATCAGAGAGTTCCTCCTTTTCCTGCCCTGAAAACCACATTTAATGACTTGCCCGCTTACCATTAGAAGCATTTCCAGGACTTCTAGGAACAGAACATGGTTTAACAGGGTTCTTGGCAGAAGTATACTTCTGTTGTTTAAAATTCTTTGGCCTGTCTTGGTGGCAATGTTCCTTCAGGGGCAGTTCAAGAGGCTGTTTGATAACAGAGCCAAAGCAGAGGGCTACACTACTGTGTTGATGATACACAAACAGCAGCTCCCAAGATTTGCTGTGAAGCATTCAAATGGGTCAGCCCTACCTCCTCAGTAACCCTGATAGGTTGCTGTGAAAGTAGGCCAGAACAGAAGATGAATCAATACCTTTTCCACCACTTCCTCATGTGTATCATTTTCCACGTTTTTCCCATTGATTTCAATCAGGCGATCGTTATTTTGGACACCAGCCTTTGCAGCTGCTCCTTGTGATGAAAGCTCTACTATGAACAGCCCCTTCTGCCCTAAAATAAATGAAAACTCATTATGCAGGGTAAGTCACTGCAATATGCCTGAATGCAATGGTTAAGGAAACACAGCACTGATGTCCTCAGAGACTTTTGGTCTCTGCTTACACTCAGATCACAGCAACACCACAAACCTTCCACATGGGCACACCTTTGTCTCTTACTCTGTCATGGAAAAATCACTTCTGTCATGGAGGAAGACATTTGTTCACTATTTGCAGCTCAAACAGTTGTTTATTTCCCTACCAAGAGTGTAAAGGGGCTGATTAAGATAGCTGAAAGGGATTTAATTCCTGTCCTCCTCTCTTCCCCACACCAATCATTTTGAAGAGAGGAGCTGCTTTTAGTGTTGTTTTATACATTTCACAGTTTCCTGTGTTTGGAAGGCTTCTATGTTTGGCTTTTCAGCTATATTGAATTCCAAAATACCCTCTTTAGAGGTGGTACTTTCCAGGAGACTTCCCTATTCTGTTGACTGGCCTTGGAAGAAAGGCACATATGGAAGAGGTTCAAAATCCTTTTCTTTCTAAATGAGATAACCTAGAAATCAGGAGAAGTGTTTCTTACAGTGGTCTAGAACTTTGTGTGCTGATTCTTGAGGTGATTTAGAGGAATGGAAGAGGACTTAATGTAGCATGTTGAGTGTATGTCTGGTATTTGAGCAGAGGCTGCAAACGATTTTGTTAAGTGCACTTAACAAGCGGAAAATGACTTATTATTTTTATCTCTTTTTTTCGTCTTTTCTCCACCTCATAAGGAACATGGTCCTCAGAAAACCTTGCACTGCGTATGCTGTACAGAAATGTGCTAAAGATGGATCTGAACTCATCTTGTTGCTTCTCACTTTTCTTTCTGCTAGCAGTAAGTTTGTGTGTCCCCATTAGCCCACATGTGTTAATTGTGGTTGCCTCTGTTCCAGCTGCCAAATATATATATATGTATAGCCCATCTCCTCTCCCCAGGCTCTCACCTTCTGTGGTTTTCAGAGAGAAGCCATAGCCTTTCTCCTCCTTCACTAGGTAGCAGAGCCGTGGTTGTGGAACTGCAGTGGCTCCTCTCTTGGCCATGGTCAATTGGGACTGCTGCTCCTGCCCTGCTGACACATTTTGACCCAGCTCTTCCAAGTTCACTTCCTCCTTTTGTGCCTTTTGATAGGATGCATCATCCAGAACAAGAAGTACAACAGAATTCCCACTGTTCTTGACAATCTCCACGACCTGTAGTGGACAAGGGGAAATAGCAAGCAGGTGCTAGAGTGACTGAGCTAAAAGCTCTCCCCAGGAGGGGCTGCACTGTCTACTGTTTTTATTGTCTCATCCCCCTGTTTATGCACTGTGGAGGCACTCTAGAGACATTTTGTGCCTGTGGTGAGTAGTGATTGATGCAGGAAGATGCTCAGAGTGATTGACTTAGCTCTTGGATTTCCTAGCTGAAGATGCCATAAAAACTGGAAGAGAAAGCTTCACATAGTGGCAGTGGGTCTGGGTAATGGGGGTGTGGATCCCAGACAAAACAGAGATGTACCTGTGTATGTTCCTCCTTGTCTACAAACACACCATTAACCCTGAGAACTCTGTCTCCATCCTTCAACCCAGCCTTTTCAGCTGGACTGTTCTGTTGCACATTCCGGATGATATGCCCTGCTGTGTCTTTCTCAATGCGCAGGTAGAATCCATAGGTCTTTTGGGGCTTTTTGGTCACTTTACATTCTCGGGGCTGCAGAACAGAAGTCATGTCTACCAGACAAAATGGAAAAGATATGTGAGTAAAAACAGTAAGCTTACCTATATATTCCCTCTAAATACATACTGAGTTTGCTTCAGAATTCTTGGGGTTTTGTTTCTCAGGATATCCAGCTGTACAAAGTTGATGTTAGTTAACAAGGCTAGGGAGAAGAAACCTAACCCTTTTGCCTCTCTTTTGCCTAGCTTTTCTTGTCTCCCTATCTCAAATGAAGTTAAGCAGGATGCAGAACTGAAAAGCAAAAAAAAAGTCTGCCTGTGAAAACATAGTAAAAATTGAGGAGAGGATTTAATACGAGAATTAAGTCTTAGAGAAGAAAAAGAATAGCAGCACAAAAATACCAGACTACCACTATAGGAAAGCTACATGACAAAATGGAATTTCACAGATTTGCAGAATGATCAGGGTTGGAAGGGATGTCTGAAGAACATGTGGTCTGACCTCAGCTTAAGCAGGGCCACCTAAAGCCAGTTCCCCACAACCAAGTCCAGATGACTCTTGAATGGTTCCAAGGAGGGAGGCTCCACTATGTCTCTGGGCAGCCTGTGCCAGTGCTCAGTCACTCCTGTAGTAAAAAGTGTCCTTACAATCAGTGGAGCTTCCTATGCTGGAGTTTGTGCCCATCACCTCTTGTCTCAGACACTGCTGAAAATACCCTGGCTCCATATCCTTTACACCCTCCCTTAGGTATTTTTATGTGTTAGTAGGTTTCCCCTGAGCCTTCCCTTCTCCAGGCTGAACAGGCCCAGCTCTCTCAGCCTTTTTTAGGTCTTTAAGGATGGAGGCTACACCTTCTCTAGGCAACATCTGCAATTGCATGAGCAGGTGTGATCAAGGAAGGGTCTCATTGTCCTAACCAGGCTTTCCTGTTCTAAGTTATGTTAGCTAAAGAAAATGAAGTTCCAGGAAAAGGCATTGCAACTGAACAGTTATTCATAATGAGTGCAGGGTTCACACTGGAGGGTGGATGTACTGATTTTTATGATACCTGATGAACCTGATAAATTTACATGATAAGTGGACTGGCTCTGCGACAGGCAAAAAACCCCTAACAAATCTGCATCTAGACCATGCACAGCTGTCTGTGCACAGGCTGAGTGCTGGATGGCCAGAAGTCAGCCTTGCTGGACAGCACTTACATGCCCAAGTTGGACATTAGACAGTGGTGAACCTTTGAAGGTCATCTGTGTACTGGGTGGTATTAGAACGTAGCCAGCAGGTCAATGGAAGGGATTGTTCCCCACTCTTTGGCACTTGGGAGACCACATGTGAGTACTGTTTCCAGTTTTGGTCTCCCAAAGTAATTGACATATTGGAGCTAGTCCACTGAAGGGGTTTAAGTTTTGGAGCACATAATGTTTAAGGAGACTGAGACAGATCTTGCTATCTTCCAACTGCCTAATTGGATTGTGTAGAGAACACAGAGCCAGCCTGTTGGAAGTTAAAAGTGCTAGGATGAGAGGCAATAGACACAGGCTGCAGCAAGGAAAATTCCAACTAGACAGCCATAAGAACAGCTTTTTTTTCTTGGGGATCATCAGATGCTACTAGAACAAGTGCCCAGAGAGATGAAATCTCTATCCTTGGAGATTTCTGGATTGCGCCCTGAGCAACCTGATCTAAGCTGACCCTGTTTTCTATGGAGTGTTGGACCCCGCAACTTCCAAAAGTCCCTTCCCACTTTCCTATTCTGTGGTTTTATGATGTTATAAAAGTCTGCTCTGGGTGAAGCATATCATACAGGAATATCCTGTACTGAAAGTAAACAACAGGTGTGACCAGGGAACATCACCAAAGATAGTTGCCTTAGGAACTCCTGCCAAATATCCATGAGGACAGGAAAACAACACAAATGAAGACAGCTTCCTCCAGTCCGAAAGTCCAGGTAATTAGCAAACTTGGTTTGTATTTTACTGGAAAGATTTTTTTTTTCTGCCTCTCTTTATCAACAGAAGTCAAGTTTTTAGAAATAGGTGGGAGTCAAATCCTTATGTGATTGCAGCCTACTGCAGAGCCACTACTGTGGCTACCCATGCTGCAGACTGTTTGCTATTGAAGCTGAAACTGCATTGCTGAGGTTAGTTGGGCAGCATATAGAACATGGATGTACGGTGTGGGTTTGGTACAGATATCACCAAAGCTGGAGAATACAGGAATTTCAGCTGGCAGGGATAGGAAGCCTGCAGATCGTGATTCACTTGTACCCTTTGGTCAGACGCGTTGAGTTTTTTCTAGTCTCTGTGTATTGCAGTAGGTCTAACTCCATAAAGGGATGAACTGCCCTATTATTTGGACATTGGAACACATCAGACTCTATTGGTTGCAAGTACAATTCAAAACAGTTTTTCTTGACAAACACCAGGAATCTGTGCTAATTCCTGAAATAAACATGCAAAACCAGTGGTACACAGAGCTGAAGAAACCGTAAACTTCTGTAGGAAAGAATGTTCCTCTAAACTCAGAAAGGGAGGGAAGGTTACAATGCACTGCATACTACTCCTTTCAATCCACAAAAGCTTTACCTGTAACATTATTTGGATTGCAAAAAGAAGTTTTCTAAGGGAAGAGAGATTAGGAAAAAAGGAATGTCTTACCTGTGTATCTATGTAGAGCAGCCTTCACAGGAGTTCTCTTTTGCTGTCCCTCCCGTGGCTCTACCTATAAGTAAGACTGGACTTTGATTGGGCAAAGGTTGATTTAAAAGATTATTTATTTAACCAAGTTTGACTGAATATGTTCAACACCTTGATAGGCTGTCTTGTCCTTGTGAGCAGAAGTGCTAATCACATGCATTTCTGAGCCACTTTGCATTTTGTTCTACTGGTATTATACTCAAAGCTTCAGTCAAGGAAGTCATCCAAGGCAAGCCTGACCTTTCTTCTGGAGAAGAACCTTCTCCAGCTATGAGAAAAGTCTTAAAGGGAGTAGGTTTGCATTGTGCTGGATTTATCTGGGCCAGCAGCATTTGACTGCAGATTAGGAAGTTACTGGTTAAAATCTTTATGCCCCATGTTGGATGCCAAAATAAGGACTATGATGTGTTAACCATGGCCAGCAGCCAGATGCCTACTGAGCCACTTTCATTCCCCTCCACTACAGGACATAGGGAGAAAATAGGATGAAAAAGCTTGAAGAATTAAATACAAGGACCATATCTGGGAGCAATACAATGAAAAAATGGGTTTGTGATTGAGGGGTGGTCCTGACTGTTGAGGTCATCATGCATATGAAACATGCACTGCATTCAAGTGACCCATGTGAGTAAAGTCTCCCTGGAATAGAGAGAGGGAGGTGGCTGGGATATCCATATGGTGAGGGATGGCAAATTGGCTACACTGGACCACTGCTCTGAATCTGCCAAGGCAGGTGCTATGTGTTTACCACGGTGGAAGCATCTATTGGATGACTGGACACATAACCTGCAAACCATGCCATTGCTTCTAATGCTATACTGAGCCTTGAGAGACAAGTTCTGTGTCATGCTACCCCAGAAAGAATTGAGCCAATGCAACTAATTCCTGAAAAAACCTCATATACTCTTGGACTAAGAAACATGGCATTGATGTGGTGCTGTGTTTATCTCACCCATAAGCCTCTGGAAAGATTGAACAATACAATGGGCTGTTATGGACTATGCTGAGAGCATAGGGCACTGGGGAATGTAAGCAGTGGAATATTAATTTGCCAGAAGCTACTTGGCATGTTAATGCCAGATGATCCACTAACTGCCCTGGTTCTGCCCATACTAAGCCCTACACACTGTGGAAGGAAATGAGGTCCCTATAGTATATATAGGTAAGTGGCTGAGAAAGGCAGGGTGGGTTGCTCTACCTTGTGAAAAGGAAAGAGGATTTATGGGATTGTCTTTGCTCAGGTGCACTTTTGGGTAGTGCAGGAGAAAGTGCAAATCTACTGTGTACCTCGAGGAGGTTTACCCCTGGGGTAAAATAATCTGTTATTTGACTTGTATGATATAGGAAGTAACACAGCAGAAATTGCCTGAACCAAAAGAGAATGAGTCTCAAAAACAACCACATGAGTGCAGCACTGACTAACCCCAAGTGGTCTTGGTATGGCACAATTCACTGTGCTGCTTCCCTTGTCCTGAGTGGTCTCCTTGACAGATAGGACCAAAGTCATTGATTGTTCTAATGAAAATTTGAGGGAAGAGGAGCATGGAATGAGAGGACAATATCTGTATATATGCCAAGAGACAATGTACAGTGGTTATGGAGGATGTATAAACCTGACTATTGGATGTAAAGATCGTTTAAGTATGTTGTATAAGTTGTAAGTGTTGGCAAGAAGGAATTTCAGGAAAGAGAGGTAGATAGAACAAGAAGGTTGAGTAGGGTATAGAAATGAATGCATGAATGGGACAGGATACTTCAATAGATCATGCTGAGGTCACACATGATGAGAATGGTATGGAATAAGGGGTTGAGATGTACTGGGTCTGTCTGGGATGAAGTTAACTTTCCTCATGGCAGACTGCATGGTGCTGTGCTTTGCTTTTGGAGCTGACAGTGTTGATAACACACCACTGTTTGGCTGTGAAGGCAGCTAAAGATCTGCCTGCTGATGGGAAGTAGAGAATGAATTCCTGTTTTCCTTTGCTTGCACACACAGCTTTCCTTTCCCTATCAAGCTACCATTATCTCAATCCATAATTCTTGCCTTCCTGTTATTTTATTTTATTTTATTTTATTTT